ATATTACTAATAATAATAATAATAAAGAAAAAATAAAATAAAAAAATAAAAATATAAAGAAAAGTCCATGGGGTTAATCATTAAGGCAAGAAGTACTGTGAGAAAAAATGGCTAGACCCACATGAAAAGCCCAAGCGCTCAAAAACACACAAAAAAGTCTGAAAATTGTGAAAAATGGCAAAAGGTCACGCTGGGGCTTGAACCCAGGACCTAAGGGTGAACAGGCGCGCGCTTTAACCACTAGGGTGGTGATACATCCATTAACTTATATGAAAGGATAAATACATAACACAAAACACACCCTGATTACACTTCATCTTCAACCTCCAGCCAAAGGACTTGTATCTTCTTCATCTCTCAACAAAAATGAAAAGTTCAAACATGAAAGTTGTGGCATTTCTTCCTACGAATCCAACCATATAAATAACTTAAGCTAACAGTCAAAGATGAATGAGAATTTTTCTGGCCCTAATTTAAAACCTAAAAATTTCAGAAAACTTCAACTCTAAAATTCTCTAAGCTCAGGCCATATAAATGCAAACTATGGATATGTACAGCTTCGTGGCAATGGTGTCTACATTTTATCTTCACAAATGCAAGCATAACAATGCCTAAATATGAAGATAGAAGTTCAAGAAAAATACCTCAAAACTGGAAATTGTGAAATGGATATGAGCTTATTTCAAGCAGTGGTGATGATCAGGTTAGCTTCCTTGTACCTCTAGAAAGCTAATGCAATGCTTAGCTTGAGTTGAGAGTGGCTGAAATGGCCTGGAGAAGTTCAACTGCAATGTTCTGTTTATGGCTATGGAAGTTGATGAAGATGATGTTACAGTCTGCAAACAGGGACATGGATGGTTTGTATTTGATATGAGGAAGCTTTTGAAACTAAAAGGCCAAGAAATGCACGAGTGATTTTGAAGATTGAAGTTCAAAGTCAGAAATGACACAAAAATGGAGGTTTTGTGCAATCTTAGTTTTCAAGGAGTTTGGGAGCTTGTATATTCATGTGTTGGCTTGCAAATAACTTGTATGGTTATATGAAAAAGGTTAGTGTACTTGAGGAGGTCAGAAACACAAGATATAGACTTATGGCTATGTTACTTGATTTTGAAGAAAAGTGACAATATGGTTTCAAGGCATAGTACTAGCATGGTCTGAGTTTATGGGAGGCTCTATACATGTTGCTTTTGCAAGAATGGAATGGTTACTTTGTGCCATAAATGGAAAAATTCCTTGGATAAAGCTTGAATCAAGTGGATAATACTCAAAATCAAGTGTAATCTTCTGATTATGGAGAGATCTTGAGGTTTAAAGGCCTACAAAGCAAGATTATGCAGCATAGGTTTGAAATTGAATTCTTGTTCATCACAAAGTGACTTGTATTTCAAGTTTGAAAACCCTAACTTCCTCTCTTCGATTCTCCCTGCTCAAGAATGATCTCAAAGATTTCTTGGACATTTTGGAAAGCTTGTAATATGCTCTACAACCCCTCTTTGAATCACTTTTGAAAATTCCCCTTGGAACTATATGAAAAAGTGCCATGAAGTTAGGTCAAAATCCTGACCAAAACTAGGGCAAAATTTCACTAAGTGTTCAATTTCAAGACTATGACTTTATGAATTAATAACTTGATATCTAAGCATTTTTAGAATAAGTTGTGTAAAGAAATTTTGTAGATATCATGGAGATATACAACTTTCATGTTGAAAGTTTCTTCTGAATCCTCTTGCATCATAGTGAAAAAATGGCTCAAAGTTATAAAAAATATGAAGTTTTAAACACTTAGAAAAATTTCTAAGTTAAAAAACTTTGACTTTTCAAAATGAAATCTTGACTTTTTGATTTCTTGATGAATAAGTTTCATATTTTGACATGTTTTGATGAATTGTGATCTTTGACATTGAATTTTGACCAAAAAGTCAAAGTTTGACTTTTCAGTGTACAGTTGTCTTTTGATCAGTTGACTGAAAATTCATTATCAATCCAATTGATATTGAGCAATGTTTTAGGTCATGCCATTAGGTCAAAATGATTCAATTTCACTCTTGAGATCATGCTTCAAGCTAATTGACCATTTGCTAGGTCAAAAATCAGAAATTGCCCTTTCTCAGTCAAAACCCTAATTTTGACCATTTTGCCCTTTTGATGATTTGATCCAATTTCTTGAGGAATTATGGTCCAAACTTGATCAAATGATACATATGAGTTTATAATATTGATATGGATCAAAAATTATAAAGTTTGACTGTAAATTGGCCATAGTTGACTTTTTCCCCAATACATTGATTTTTAGGTCAACTGCTCAATTGACTGAGCAAAAGTGTGATCCAAGGCTTAAAACTTGACATGAGTAATCTTGGGGGTACATAATGATCCATGAAAGTCATATGAAGCATTGAAAGTTCAATTATCCTTATGCAATCTCAAACTTTAATTTTGGTCATCAGTGCTTAAAGAGGTGTCTTGAGCTGATCAACCCTAGTGCAGTCTTGAACCAAGAGAGATCTTTGTGAGAAAATATTTGATAAATGAGAGGGAAAATTTTGGAGTACAACACCTACGCTTACCTATATAACCTGCGTTATCAAATGTAATCTAGTCATATATATATATATATATATATATATATATATATATATATATATATATATATATATATATATATATATATATATATATATATATATATATATATATATATATATATATATATATATATATATATATATATATATATATATATATATACACACACATATTGGACTAAAGAAAGAGCAATTGCATTCTAAAGCCAAGATAACAGTAATTCATTCCTAGAAGAAAACAAATAATTATGCATTAACATAACAAAACAATAAAAAGTCATTTAAAAAGTTATGCAACTACCAAAACCAAAACCAAAACACAACAATACCACATCACACTAATATCCATAATTTCTAAACCACAATACCTTCAATCCAGGAGCATAATCCCTACGGTAATAAGCAGGACTCTTAGCAGATCTCCACTCAGCAATTCTCATACCATTTGATACACAAAGCAAATAAAATCAAAACAAAAACAAAAACCCAATATACCAAATAAAATCAAAACAAAAACCCAATACACAAATTCATGAATCAACCAACCAACACAAAAGCACTCACAATGATTATTCTCGCAAACCAAAATCACCGAAAGATCCCAAAGAACAGTAATATTAAACGACTCAAACAATTTTCCCTGATTAGTAGCCCCATCCCCATACAAAGAAAAAGTCACATTCGAATCCTTACAATACTTCTGCCCAAAAGCCAACCCAACCCCAGACATAATCCACAAATTAGTTTCGCCTTGTAAAGTGAATATGCAGTGATCTCCATCCAACGCATGAGAGCTATGTCGTTAAAGAATGACATGAGCTCAGAGGAGGAGATTTCGACGAAGCGTGATGGCGTGTCGCAGTTGTGGGAGGTGAAGGGGATTGAGGTTTCAATGGTTAGGATTTCGTTGGAAGAGTAAATGGAAGAACATAGTTGGGGGGATAAGAGGAGTGAAATGAGTTTGAGGAAAATGAATTGTGATGTTCTCTCTATCCTAAGATAAATGGTGTTAAAATGTTTTACGCTTCTCCCAACAGTTTTGTTTGGATTCCCAATTGATATCAATAACTTTAATCTTTCAATGTGACTATTGAATTGTACGTGATTATCATAAGTAATTAAGAATTAATAAAATAATTAATTAAATATTAAAAAATAATTAAAGTTAATTATAATACATTTCTATTAATAATATTTGTTCAAATAGTAAATCTTTTAATAACATGACAAGTAAGAGCATAATTATCGGCTGACAAAGTGCCGTTGCTACACAGTTTTTAATAAATTTGTTTTTAATATTTGGATAGTTGAGAAAAAGTAGCGTTCCTACACTCATGCATGTTCTCTTATTTAACCATGCTCTCTAACTGATTTTTTTCCCAAAGAACAGTAATATTAAACGACTCAAACAATTGTCCCTGATTAGTAGCCATATCCCCATACAAAGAAAAAGTCACATTCGAATCCTTACAATACTTCTGCCCAAAAGCCAACCCAACCCCAAACATAATCCACAAATTAGTTTCGCCTTGTAGAGTGAATATGCAGTGATCTCCATCCAACGCATGAGAACTATGTCGTTGAAGAATGACATGAGCTCGGAGGAGGAGATTTCGACGAAGCGTGATGGCGTGTCGCAATTGTGGGAGGTGAAGGAGATTGAGGTTTCAATGGTTAGGATTTCGTTGGAAGAGTAAATGGAAGAACATAGTTCGGGGGATAAAAGGAGTGAAATGAGTTTGAGGAAAATGAATTGTGATGTTCTCTCTATCCTAAGATAAATGGTGTTAAAATGTTTTACGTTTCTCCCAACAGTTCAGTTTAGATTCCCAATTGATACCAATAACTTTAATCTTTCAATGTGACTATTGAATTGTACGTGATTATCATAAGTAATTAAGAATTAATAAAATAATTAATTAAATATTAAAAAATAATTAAAATTAATTATAATACATTTCTATTAATAGTACTTGTTAAAATAGTAAATCTTTAAATAACATGACAAGTAACAAATTTGTCCAATAATATATTTTGCTTTATTTGATGTTATTCAACACAAAGAAAGGGGTTAGTACCGTATTTAAACTTAAAGTATACTAGTATGAAATAATCATGTGCTTAGTGTGGTTAACTAAAAGTCATAAATTCATATTAATTAATAATTTTTTTAAAATGGGGTGAGAATTTTAAAAGAAAAAGTATGCACTAATGGATAGTATTATTACATTAACTGTACTTAAAGTTGACTGTGATTTTAATTGGAAGCACATGCGGTCCTTTGGAGATTGGAAATTTGATCCAAAAGATAGATAACAACTGAGATTTCAGTGAGCGAAGAACATCTCTCCCCCGATAACGCTATCTCGCTTCTTTTCTCTTGTTTCTTTCCACTTCCTTCAAATCAAATCCATGGTACTCTGTTCTACACTAACCCCTTCTTCTTCCCTTCTCACCGCTTCAAATTCAACCATTCCTCGCCACACCTCCTTCTCTCGCTCTCCTCACCTCCCCCTCCGACGCTCTTCTCGTCCCATCTCCAACATTTTCAATGCCTCTCGCCGTTTCAACCAACATCTCTCTCTTCAGGCCCAAGCCCAAGCCCAACCCCGCACACTCTTCCCCGGCGGTTATAAGAGACCCGAACTCAAAGTCCCCACACTAATCCTCCAGGTCAACCCCGACGAGATTCTGACACGTGGCGAAACCGCCTTAGACTTGATCGACAAAGCAGTTTCAAAATCGGTTGGTATAGTAATTCTCGCCAGTAACGAACAAACCGGTGGCAAACTCTACGAAGCCGCTTGCGTGTTGAAATCACTCGTTCGTGACCGCGCGTATCTGTTAGTCGCCGAGCGTGTCGATATCGCCGCAGCTGCCGCCACCAGTGGTGTTTTACTCTCCGACAAAGGTTCTTTCTCTTTTGAGCATTTCTTCAAACACTTGTGCTGCATTTTATTTGTAATAATTGAAATTAATTCCTTTGTATGTGTTTCAGGTCTTCCTACTGTTGTTGCTAGAAATACAATGTTAGGTTCCAATACTGACCTGGTGCTTCTTCCATTGGTGGCTAGATTTGTTCAAACTCTAGATGCTGCCGTGAATGCTTCTAAATCTGAAGGTGCTGATTTTCTTATATACGGTGGTGGTGATTTGAAAGGTTTAAATCAGGAAATTGGTGATGTAGTTGAGAATGTGAAGATACCTATCTTTGCGTCCTTTGTGGGGGAAAATTTATCGTATGCTGAGGCTTTGAGTTTGCTTGCTTCTGGTGCTAGTGGTTTTGTTATTAGTTTGGAGAGTTTTGGGTTGTTTGATGATGATTTTCTTTGTAAATTGTTGGATGGTGGAATTGCAAATGACGAGAGAATACTGGAGAAAATTGATGATGGTAAATTAGTTAATAAAAGTAATGGTTTGCAGAGCAAAAGGGAGGTTGTTGGTGGATTTGTTAAACTGGAGGATAGGGAGAAACGGTTAATTGAGATGGAGAGGGTGTTGTTGAATGAAGCTATTGAAGTTATAAAGAAAGCTGCACCTCTGGTGATCTTTTAATTAAAACAGTTGGTATTTGGATTGCTGTTTTTTTTTGGTTTCTTTCATTGTTGTATTTTGACCATTATACTGTTTACTTTGTGTTGAATTGGGATTGGTTTAAAATGACAGATGGAGGAAGTTTCGCTTCTCGTTGATGCAGTTTCTCAGATTGATGAGCCGTTCTTATTGGTTATAGTGGTAATTGTGTGCTGAATCTCAACAAATTCTGGTTCCTGGATATACATTGGTATTAGCTCTAAATTTCAAAAAGAAAATATTCTGTTACTACATATAGTTTTGAACTAGTTAACCAATAAGTGCTATTTGTTGTGGACTTCTCTCGTCGTTGTTGTTCACTGTCTTTCTGCTTTTAATTGACTACTTTCATGTATAATAATCATTTACTTAGTGTTGGTTATTTGTTTGCTTGCAGTGAGCAGTGAGCAGTCTTTACAAAATTTAGAAGCTATATTGCTTTCAGGAGTTTTTTTCCTTCATATAGTTCATGGTCATTGTACTTTGTTCTTGTTATTCTACTCTGAACAATGCCATATGTTGGGTCACGTGTTATTCCTAGATTGTTATGTTATGGATGGATTTGATGGCAATCATAGCTGTCAATACTCATCAGAGATCACTTGTTATTTAATGTTCACCTTAGGATGAGTAGTTCTTTGATTCACTAGCGTCCCCATTAACATTTATCATAAATTTTCTTAATGTGAGATGCAAAAACAACTGGTTTTGAATAAAATTCATAGAAATATGGTACAAAGAGCTGATGTTATTTGCACTATTACCAGGGGGAATTCAACTCTGGTAAATCTACTGTGATTAATGCGCTTCTTGGAGAAAGATATCTCAAAGAGGGGGTTGTTCCAACAACGAATGAGATCACATTTTTACGGTTTAATGAGCTAGATATTGAAAAACAACGTTGTGAAAGGTTTCCAGATGGTCAATGTATTTGCTACCTTCCTGCTCCAATTCTCAGAGAAGTAAGTCAATTATTTTTTAGTTTTCTCCCTTTGTTTCGGTTCTCTCTGCTCACAATCTCTGTTTGCAATAAGTGGCCCCTCAACAGTTTTCTTTGTCCTTCTGAAAACAGATGACAATTGTTGATACACCTGGAACTAATGTAATTCTTCAGAGACAGCAGCGTCTTACAGAGGAATTTGTGCCTCGTGCAGACTTGCTTCTTTTTGTTATTTCAGCTGATCGTCCTTTAACTGGAAGTGAGGTATGGTTAATCATTATTTGTGCTAGGTCATGCTCTAGTATTACCCAGTCAGGGGAATAACGTGGTGTTTTATTTATTTTCCAGGTTGCTTTTCTTCGATATTCACAGCAATGGAAGAAAAAGGTGGTCTTTGTTTTGAATAAAGCTGACATATATCAGAATAATCATGAGGTATATTAATGTTTCTCAGTTCATGTTGGGTATATTACCATAATTGTATTATCTTTAGTTCTATTGTATTGATATAGTCATTTGCCAAATTAGGCTTACATTATATATATTCACAAATAAATGCAGCTTGAGGAAGCATTGTCCTTCATTAAGGACAACATAAAGAGGTTGCTGAATACAGAAGATGTGATATTATATCCTGTATCTGCTCGATCTGCTCTTGAAGCAAAACTTATGGCTACCTCTAGTTTTGAGAAACATAATGAAGAATTGCCAGTCTCTGGTTCTCACTATGGTCCCAGCAGCTTTCATGAGCTTGAGAAATTCTTATACAGCTTTTTAGATGGGTCAACAATTGCAGGAATGGATAGAATGCGGCTAAAACTTGAAACACCTGTCGGAATTGCCAATAGACTAATTTCTGCATGTGAAACTCTTGTGACACAAGACTATCGAAGTGCCAAGCAGGATTTGATTGCAATAAATGGTGTTGTCAATAGTGTAAATGATTTTGCATTGAATATGGAAATTGAGAGCCTTTCTTGGAGGAGACAAACCCTATCTATGGTATGTTACAAAAAGTTCATAATTTTTTAATTTCAGGACAATTTGTTTTCCTCTTAATTGGTATGCTCTTAAATCACATTGGTGTACATTGTCAGATCGAATTCACTAAATCACGCGTTGTGGAGCTTGTAGAAGCTACAATGCAATTGTCAAATCTTGATACCATTGCATCATATGTTTTCAAAGGAGAGAAACGTACAATGCCTGCCACCTCAAGAATTCAGAATGACATCATTGATCCTTCTGTGTCATCTGTTCAGGTTAGTTTTTGGTTGTAAACTACTGAATTCAGATTGTAGTGACTCATGTTTACTAATTACTAGTCCCTCTGGTTTTACTTATAAGAGAGTTTTTGGGTCTTATTTCTAAGAAAACGTTACAACTTTTAAGATGTATTTATTGTATAACTTGCATTTTAACCTCATTTGATATATTTGTCTTTTTAATATTAGTGGATGTAATTAATGTCTCATAATTTTCGATAAGGTTTTGTTTGGGAGTTTGAAGGGGAGGTGAAATAGAGCTTTGAAGGGAGAGGAGTAGAAGAAAAAATATCTTAATCTTTAAATTTTATCGAAAAAAATGTTTTTGTATAGCATGATAAATGAATGCATGTGATTAATATATTTTTGATATTGAGAGAATTACAACATGAATTGAATTTAGATAATTTATCAAAGCCCTCCAAAACCCTCCATTGTCTTCTTCCAATACAATTTTTGAGTTCCCTCATTTTAGGGAAATTTTGGAGATTATTATTGAAGGAGGATTTTGAGAGGTTTTGAAGGGTTTAGATAAATTCTTCAAATTCAATCTATGTTATATATTTGTTATGACATTCAAAAAGCTAAAACAAAAAATGAGCTCATTGTTTTGTTGTTTTTTGATTTTGTCTCTTATAATTGGGTCCGGAGGGTGTATTGTTTATCTGAAAGAATAATTGATTCAACCATAAACCGGACTATGCTTTTGCTTTGGATGCCTCCAAGATGGCTAATACATAAAAATACTAATGCAAGATTTAAAATAATGTAATATGTGTGACATTAGCTGGGTATATTTTGCTAATATGTTTTTGGTTGATTGGACACAGAAAATACTTGCAGAATATGAAGATTGGTTATGCTCCAAAAATACCGAACAAGGGAGACTATGCAAGGAATCTTTTGAGAAACGTTGGTCCTCGTTGATTCATGAAAATAGTCAGATGTCTTTTGAGACGTATGAATTGCTAAAGAAAAGGGATCAAGCAGGCTACCGGGTGATTGAAAATTTCAGCAGCAGTGCAGTTTCAAAGTCATTTGAGCAAGAAGTTCGTGAGATGGTAAGTTTAGAACTCCTTCTAAAATAATTCGAAACTCTTTATTTTAGCCTTAAGATCTCTTTTTGTTCAACTGTAGTAGTCAGCTTAGTTTCCTGTTTCTGTTTCTTTAGTTCAATTGCAGTTTTTTCCTCATGATTTGAAATCAAAAGGAAAATTTGCTGACGTGGATTTCTGCCATATCAGCAAGGCTAAGTCACTTCAGTTGAACAACTAACTGATGGAAGGATATTATTGCATCAGTTTGAAAACTACATCATACATGGGAAGTAATTATAAACGGGGGACCTAAACTGTATGAAACTAGGGTCTATATGTCCAACAAACTTTAGACATTTTGAGCCGAAGTTTTGCAATTCACGAATTATCCCAAAATTTAAAATAGCATAATAGCTGACTAAAGTGCAAACAACGAGTTTTGGAAGATGTCTAGGCTATACTGCCTTAAGGTTAACATTCATAATGATTTATGGTTAATTATGGTGCTAGAGAAGCACTGTAAGATTAATGATTAATAGGGTTGTTTAAAAGTTGAGAAACAATTGTTTAGGTTGCTGCTTTATCTTACAATTTTATTATAATTTTGCTTTGCTACTAAATGTTGCCCTCATGTGGTCCTTAGAATATTTTTTGTGGCACTGCTTTTTTGCTATATAACAAGTAAATGATGTCTTTTTTCTCATTGGCAATAAATTTTGATATCTGCAAAATTGCTCTATTTAATATTTGTTGAACTTGGTTAGCCATACACCAATGAATATTGTCTGAATCTTCCTCTGGTGAATTTAGTTTTTTTGTTTGTTTTTATAACTATGTTTTGGCATACCACCACCACCACCCTCACAACTACCGTTTCTAAACAAATCTAATATAAAATGTCTTCCTTTTGTGTAGATTTTAGGGACTTTTGGTCAACTTGGAGTGGCTGGTTTTTCTGCTTCACTATTGACATCTGTACTGCAAACCACTCTGGAAGATCTTCTTGCTCTTGGAATTTGTTCTCTTGGCGGGTAATGTATATTACATTCAATTAGAGCTCCTTTATGGTTGCCTGGGTTATATTTGAAAGTGCATGCATGCATAATAGTTGATGAGACTTTTGGTCTTAAACTTTCTTATAAATATTTCAGCCGCACTATCCTATAAGAGATAATAAAATGTTATTTATTCAATGTATCTTTGACATGTGCACTAGTACAAACAATAACATGAACATATGGTTACATGGACACCCATTATTCACCTCTAAAATATCTCCCAACTCTTGTAGAACATGTTTCATGATCGTTTATCTTAGCCCACATAAAACTTATTTGCACCTATATAATTGTTGTTACCTCTTTTCCTATTGTAAGGCCTCTTTAAAAGTTCTTCAATATAAGCCTTGTTGTAAATTACTGGATATATTTTTTTTCTTCTTTTTAAATATATACTATCTCTTATTAATACTACTAATTTGAAAAGCTCTATACACAGGACAATTGATAAGTTATACATAAAAATGTACACATTAATTTTACTATCAGCTTGTCCTCCTAAGATATATGAATAGTGTCAAGGGAGCTTACAAATTAGAACCTTTATAATTTGTTTTGTTTTTATGTCAGGTACATAGCTATTTCGAATTTCCCATCTCGAAGGCAGAGTGTGATAGATAAAGTGAAAAAGAAAGCAGATACCTTGGCATATGAACTTGAAGAAGCCATGAAGAGAGATTTGACTGAAGCCATAGAAAATTTGGATACCAATGTGAGAGTCATTGGCAAACCTTACCAAGATCAGGCACAGAATAGACTAAACAAGCTTGTTGAGATTCAAGAAGAAATATCAAATATTGAAAAGAAACTTAGAACACTACAAGTTGAGATCCAAAATCTTCACGTGTCATGAGTTATTCGGGCTATTTTCAGATACTATTTTTGAATCAGTTAGTAGGATAATTTCCTTGAACATATTGTAGGAAATCATCTATCAAATAATAACAAATGGGAAAAGATGTTTAACTTGATAATATTATGTAATGTAATGATAATTATAATAACAAAAAAATTAGTTATTGTTCGTAATAAATATATTTAACAATATTTTACGTGATGACAAACACCTTTTTTTCTTCTTCTTTAGCATAGCACAAAATTTTTAGTGCTTGTTGCTATAGGCTAAATATGCATTTACTAGTACTTTGTTAAATAAACATAAAAACAAAAATAAGTTTTAAAACTATTTTATTTTTCTTCTTAATATCTACAATAAAATTCTACTACACAAACTAAATTATTGAAAAAACTATTAATGTATATAATATAAGAAAATTAGATGTTATGGAAAATATCAATTTATCCTTTTGTCTTTGTCTGTCACTTTATCAATTTGAAGGTATTTTGTCGAAAGTGTAATTTCTTGTGTCGAAGTAGGTTGTTGCTTGAACACAAGGTGTGTTGAAACTTAGTATATCGAGTTGTGTTAGTTATAGAAATGTTGTAAGCAGGTTGCTACACACAGATTTCGATTTAGTTCTAAAATAGTTATTTTGAGCTTTTGTGTTTTAGGATTTGACTTAGAGAGCAAGCTATCCTAAAATTATAAATAGAGGGAGTAACCCCTATTATTGTACACAAGTTGTATTCACAGAATTTACAGTTGCAAGTGAATAAGAAGTTTTTCACAGTTTGTGGTTAGAGAGAAACTCTGCAGAAAATAATTGTATTCTCTTCTTTCTTTCATATTTTTCATTGTCATTGTGTGGTGATAACAATCTTGTTCATCAAGATTGAGAGAAATTCATCATAGGTTTAGGTGAATTTCCAACATCTGATATCAGAAGCTCCAATTGAGCGATCAAGGGAAGAAGAAGAAAATCACAGATGAATTACACGAATGAAAATTTTTCAGCAAGTCTTTCAATCCTGAAAGGCGACAACTATGAGATTGATGCAAACAGATGAATGTTATATTCTATTTACAAGGTCTTTGGGATCTTGTGAAAGATGAATTAGAACCGCTTGAAGAAGACCATTTAGAGGAAGAAGAGGCGGAATACAAAGAATCAAAGAAGAAGAATTATAGAGCTCTCTTTTATAATTCATCAATGTCTGAGTCCAAATAATTTCAAAAAGGTTAGTGATGAAGAATCTGCAAAAGATGCTTGGAAAATTCTGAAGAAATCATTTGGAGGCGCTGAGAAGGTGAAAGAGATGAGGTTACAAACTCACAAAAGAATGTGTTATGGACTGGGCCCGCCCTGGCCCAAAAGCAAGAACAAAGGCCCAATTCAAACAAACTCCTCGAGGGGCGCGCGCCCGCGGATTCCCGCCAGCGCGCTCGACCACAGACTGCAGCCGAGCCCGCCGTTGCCCGCGACACATGGTGTCCCCGACCACGGGAACTCCAGCTCGAGACCAGCTCGAGCACCCTCCTCGTAGGGCAGATTCTGACCGTTACCAAATCACCTGAACTCCGGAAAGACCGTGTCTTCGTCCCTCCTCATTTCTCACAGAGCATCACCAGGAAGGAGACCACGTGCGGGTCCCTACTACACACGTAGAACCTGGCAGTTCCTTTATTGGGCCAGTTCTGGTCGGCCCAATGAGGGGACCTTGGCCCCGCGCTGGGGGCTATAAATACCCTTTGTTCCTAGAGGGTCAGATATTCATCTCTTACCCATACATACGCTTTTTGCCTGCTCATTCTGTCACTCATTTTAGCATCGGAGTGCCTTGCAGGTACCCCCCCCCCATCTCACTCAACTTCTGCTCGGAGCCAGTCGTGACGGTCCAAGTCTGATCAGGTAAGATCAGTGGCGCCGTCTGTGGGAAACTAGCTTCCCCGTCTTGCAAATCCTCGAAGACCAAAGCTCAAAATCACCTCCTACCGTCATGGCTGACCAAGTTCGGGATGACCAAAACATCCGCGTCGTCGATACCAACAACGACCTCGCAGATAAAAATGGGGTCTCTGACAACACCGGTAACCCCGACCATAACACACTCCCCGGGGGCGCCATCCCCGGGCCCTCAGTCCACCGCGACGGAGCTACTGCCTCATCTTCTTCAGTCCCTCCGCCGCTCGAAGAAGACAACGCAGCTCCCACAAACTATCGAGCTGCCCAATTTCAAGAAGTCCCTGTCCCCGCCGGGGCAGATGCCACAACCCACGCACTATTCGTAGCGATCAATCATACGAATTACATCATCTTTGCCCAGGGGGAAAGATTGAGGGCACTAGAAGACGATCGAAGACCCGCGAGGAGACACAGGAGGCCCCAGACTCCACCTCCTCGAGTAACAGAGGTACATCTCCTGTCTCCCCCGCGGAGACAATACAGAGACGCCTCCCGAAGCCCTTCGCCCCGACCCTCGGGGAGACGACCCCCTTTGGAGAGGCAACGCGTCATTGAGGCCGGGGGGCGCGGCCACGCCCCCATACGACAAGAAAGAAGACACTCCGGAGACAGGCATGGAAGAATTGATCAACGAGCACCGCGCTCGAGAGATGCCCAGCACGACCAGGACCGTCGGGCACGACAATATTTCAGGTCCCCATCCCTGTCCCCGGAGCAAAGTGACGAGGACGACCCCCGCGATCCCCTGTCACAAGCTATCATGGAGGCGCCCATTCCCCCGGGCATGGAGAAGCCTACACACCTGAAGGAATATAACGGAGTCGCGGACTCGGTCGACCATATAGACGGGTTCGAGGCTATGCTGCACTACCACAACGTCGGGGGACCCATCAAATTCCGGTTGTTCCCCACGACCCTCATAAAGGCAGCAATGGATTGGTATAAAGGCCTCGCTCCGGGATCAATCACCTCGTGGTGGAACCTGAAGAACCAATTCATAAGTTCATTCACTGCGTCTCGGCGACATCCAAAGACCGAGGCAGCACTCGAGGCCATCATCCAGAGACAGGATGAAACCTTGAGAGAATTTATTAATCGCTTCAATCGCGAGGCCATACAGGTCCCCTGCGCGGACCACATGAAAAGGTACTTGCTGGAGAGGGGGCTCCTCCCCGACACAGAATTCAAAAAGGCAGTGGGCATCGAACCGCCCCGAACATTTGATGCCCTCCTCGAAAAAGCCCGGGCATATATGGATTACGAGGAAAGGGAGGCGGCCAACAGAGCCCGGGACCCCAGAACTCGCGGATCCAGCAGCAACCCGCCCCAGGAAGCCGCTCCTCCTCAACGAGCCGGGGAGAAAAGAAAAGAGGACAGACCCCGAGAAGTCCGAGAGCAAAGAGGACCCTCGGGCGTTTTACCGAATACACTCTGCTCACAGCTTCCCGCGAGCGCATTTTGGCGGAGTGTGCCAGCACGTATTTTAAAGATGGCGGCGTCAAACGCCCCCGACCTGCCCCTACCAAGCCCGGAGCAGACAAGAGCAAATACTGTCAGTACCATAGGAGCCATGGTCATCTGACTGAAGACTGCGTCCACCTCAAGGACGCCATCGAAACCCTCATCAAGGGAGGGAGGCTCGCCCAATACCGGCGAAACGACGTTCCCTGTCGTGACGCCCGGGAGACAAGAGAACCAGAGGAAGACGCCCGACCATCTGACGAGTCGGTCCCCGTCCAGACCGCCTTCTCCGTCACCAGACCGGAGGACTTCTACGTCCCCAAACACCTGCAAGAGCTGCTCACGACACACAGCAGGTGGGAATACTTTCCCTCCACCATGGTCATCAATGGTGGAGGATTCAATGACCTAACTATCAATTCGGCTAAAAGAAAGCTGGACGAACTGGTCGACGCGGCACCTCCGCAAACAGTGACCTTTGAAAGGGTAAAAGGTAGGTCGGAGCCTATCACCTTTTACCTCGAAGAGCTCCCCGGAGGAGCCCCCAATGCAGTCATTCCTCTACTAATAAGAGCGAGAATGGCTAACTTCGATGTGCACCGCATCCTCGTCGACGAAGGAAGTTCCGTCGACGTGATGTACAGTCAATTATTCTGGACTCTGCAGCTAGACGACTCGCACCTCTCGCCGTATATGGGGTCGGACTTACAGGGCTTCAACGGCTCGACCTCTAAACCCTGGGGATATGTCGAGCTCATGGTTACCTTCGGCGAGGGCACGACGACGAGGCAGATTAAGGTACGCTTCCTCGTCGTCGACTGCCCGTCCCTCTACAACTGCATCCTGGGGAGACCAACACTGGCAGAGCTGACCGCCGTGCCCTCCACCGTCCACTTGAAAATGAAGTTCTACACCAAGAAGGCACGGGTGGCTACCATCCAGGGAGACCTAGCCGCTGCTCGAAGGTGTTTCAACGCTGCATCTAAAGGGCGCGACACTGTCGACACCGAGACAAGGCCCGCCAAGAGACCGACGACAACACGACAGGAGAAAGAAGAACACACCAAAGAGAAAAACCAGAGAGCTCCCTCAAAGGTCGACTCCATAGCTCTGGATGCTCGTTTCGATCAGGACGAACCTCCCAACGGCGAGCAAATTCCCCTCCAGCCAATCCCGGACGGGGACTTCGAGCTAGTCCCCCTCGGCGTAGACCCAAGAAAAGGAGTGAATATTGGCATCGACCTACCCGACCTGGAAAGTAAGCAGATCAAAGCCTGCTTGCGCGAGAATGCTGACCTGTTCGCCTGGAGCGCCGCGGAGATGCCCGGACTCGACCCTGAGGTCGCCTGTCACCGTCTCGCCATAGATCCTGCCGCTAAGGCCGTAGTACAACGTAGGCGCCGGCAGTCTCCGTAGAAAACGGAGGCTGCTGAAAAAGCTGTAAAAGACCTCCTAGAGGAGAATTTTATTTCTGAAGCCCGATACCTGGATGTCAAACGTTGTACTAGTTAAAAAGAATAATGGAAGATGGTGGATGTGTGTTGACTATACCGATCTCAACCAGGCATACCCGAAGGATGCTTTCCCT